CTGCCACCCGCGACTATGTCTGCGTAGAATAGGTTGACTGCGTAACATTCAGACAGAAAGACAGATGTACATAAATTAAAGCCTATGTGTTATTCTGACGTATAAGCTATATTATTGTAATGCTTCATTAAAATCCATTCAGTAGTATTTGCGTGAAAGAGTAACAAACATCCATCCATACATACAAACTTTCGCGTTTATAATATTAGTAAGGATTTGGAAAACACGTGGTTTATTCCGTTGTTCAACTGAATCATCATTCAAAATTAATAATTGAGTCATCTTATGTTTATTAAAATATACATATTTCAATAGATCACTGTCAATTTTACATTTAAATTATTTTAACAATGATTTATACGTTAAATTTATTTTAATATTCATACAAAATATTTATATTTTGTAAGATCAAATCATAAAAATATTTTTTTAACCTACGTTTTGGAAACGTACGTAGATTTAGCATTTTTCTACATGTTTTAATTTTTTTTTATGTGAGACGGTGGCAAGCGAGCTGTTGGTTCACCTGATGTTACGTGATACTCACAGGGTCGCAGATGCGGTGAGACCTTTAATAAAGTGGGCTCCGCCTACCTCACTCACCAGACGAAACGCCGAAGTATGTCACTTCCACTCCACGCCGGTCTTCTGTGAGGTCGTGGCATTACGGACGGACCTGCCCATTCGTGCAACAGCCGAAGCTGTTGCGTGGCCCTACCACAGTGAGCTATAATTAAATGAGGAAATTGAATTTCCTCATTTAATTAAAAGTTTTAAAAGGTTACTGTCACAACGCTGACGTATTGAGAATATATTATATTAGGACAATTTTTTTTCACACAAAGCTTTCATTGTCCGTATACCTTGGTCTCGGCGGCCCGCAGCGTACAATCCCTGGTTGTGATATTGCACGCATGTCCACATGTGTGACTGCTTAGGAAGGGTCTAAAGCTCGTGGAAACGCTGTTTCCACTGTGCTGTATAACAAATACGCACCTATCAGATACTCACCTATCAGATACGCACTGATAGCATATCAGCAAAAGGTCGATCGACTTACGTTTTTTAACTTTAGGGTATAAAAAAACATGTTATAACATAGTCATTTCAATTACTCTTTGAACAGGACTCTGTTCCGATCAAAAAGTTACAAAATGGAACACTGAGTCAATTCCCGATACCAGATAACAAGTTCGCTAACAAAGTTTACCGTAAGCATTGAAACTTCAGACCAATACGCTGCATCTGACGACATTTAGCTTAAGCCGGAAGGATTAAGTACATTTTGAACTTTAAGCTTATAATTTTACGGGTCAACCTCGGAAGGTATTAAGTTTGTATCGGTTGTTAATTCCCGATCAATAATAACTTGTAGTCTTTGTAGGGGTAACTTGAAACACAACTTATGCTCTTTAGTTATTATCCTTTTGTTAAAACTCTGTTAAGGATTTCGATGGATACTTCACTAAAATTATCGAGCATATTGAAATTGATTTTTAAGGCCATAGTTGTATTCGAGATATGGCATTATATAATAGGCAATATATTCATATTATTCGAGAAATTAAAACATTTACAACCAGACGATACCACTTCTACCACCACGATACTTTTGACGTTCCTTCCGCTTAGTCCGACAAATGACAAACAAAAAAAAAGAATGCGACCCGATAAATTTATGCAGCCCAATGTTGCTGTATCATCGTTAACAATTATACACGTGTACATGTACAAACAACTCTCATTGTCTTTCTTGGGGATGTCTCAGCAAGAATAAGTTGTATAATGACCCGGTCTGAGCGCTTTTAAAGGAGTAGATGATCGTTCCGACTGGGCTCGAGGGTGGCATTGTTAGGCTCGTTTTAAATAGAAATCATTAAGGTTCAAATCGCTCGAACTATGAAAGTGTAGATGAATGGAACATGAGATTTTCATTAATAGTCATAAAGATGGAAGTTTTTGTTATTTAAAATAATTTTAAGTCACAGTTTTTTTTTTGTATGTGCAATTATATGTAATGTGCGTTAAACGTTTTAAATATATTACGTGTATAAAACACTGATAGAGTAATAAAGATTATAAATATTTACGCGACGACACATTATCAAATTTATTACAAAATTAAAATCACGTCATAAGTCCGTAAATATAGTTTCAATTGGAATGTTGTGTCGAAAATAAAAAGCAATGTATTAAAATATACAAGAATCCAGGAAAGGTCCTAGCATGGAGTTATGTCGCACCATGTGGGATCAATGATAAATAAAATGTCACTCGCAAGAGGCTCAGGGTCCTGCTTCGTGGCAGTCTATAGGGGAAGCCTATGTTCAGTAGTGGACTCAAACAAATAATATCATATTCATGAACATTTATCATCCTAGTCCTTTCATTGTAACTAATGATATCAAGAGTCATGAAACGCCACAAATATTTTTCGAGTGTCCTAAGAATAACCCTAAAAAATTCTGAGTTCGGAATCATGAGGCATCCATCATTGACCATCCATCAACACCTCACGAGTCCTTGTGTGCTCACATCCTCATAAACGTTTTCGTAACGAGATTGGATAAAAAACATGAGGGCATATTAAATTCGCATAGCCTCGACCATTCTTGGAAGTGGTGTGACGAATCGCGTCGACTCATCGTGGAACACCTACTGCGGCCGTTTTTCTCGTTAACACTGGGCGTTCTTTAATTCATTTGTTATCTTGTTAATGCCCGACGCTCCTTAATGTCTCAATCGAGTTAACCGCGGAATGTCTGTTGATAGGTAAATCTTGTATATATGGAATTTCACGGCTTGGTTTTTTAGACGTCGATATTCAGATGTTATTTGAATATACGGTTCGAGTTTCGCCGAATCGCTGCTAATTAAGATATAATGCGGTTTGATTTTTTTTTATTTTGAGATCAGAATGCCGATGTTAGTCGGCGCTGGCACAACGGTCTACGTGTTTCGGTAGATAGTTGAAAATTATCACGAAACGTCTGTTTACACAGCAGATGAGTACACTTTACTTCGTGGAGTATAATCGAGTTATATAGCACGGTCGTTGGGAGTAATCTTAAATGCAAGACCAACAGAACGGCACACGAAATTCTACGCGAGTTACAAAATTCCTAAATTCAAAGGCTTAAGCAACATCTGTGTTTACTAAAAGCCCGACGAGATAGCTACTATCAATGTTAATATTACACGTACACACTAAAAACTGGACGGGAACCGTTAACCTGACAGTTCCATCATTTCACGGAAACGGCTCGGCACGAACGGGAGAGGGGAAAGGAGACTCTTTATAAAGTCGTAAAAAAGTTAGAGATGGAAAGATAAACTGCGCATTGTCGCCGCCATGGCTTCATTAAGACCCGCATATATCAAATATTTACCCAGCGAGATAAGGCCGGGCGTAGTTGTTTATTCATTACCATTTTTAGAACAAAACGTGAAACGCTTCCAGAGATAAGGACGGTTTCGGTTGATTCATCAGGTGCAGGGGGCCCTTAGATGTTTTAGAAAACAAAGGAAATGTTTGTGTGTTCGAATCGTCCGTTCCGCTTACCTGAGCATTTAGAAAAAAAGTAAAGCCAGCCCCACATTCCTGACAAAGCGTGTTATCTACTGTCGATGTTGGAAATGTTAACTTATCGCGCCCTACTATCGCACTATTTAAATGCCTAATGACAGATATTTTTCTTAGGGTTCGTTTATAAAACGCCTCGGACAATTTATTCATTATTTTTTAGATTCGTTATATTCAGGTGAGCGTTTTTTTTTATTACATTAATTTGGACAAGGATTTAGTGTCATTGATTAAGTAATGACCTAATCGGTCGTAGTTTAATTTATAAGTGGTCAGGTGAATAAAGTTTTACTATTCTTTTAGTTTTTTATAATTGTTTACAACACAATGTATAGTTTTATTCTATACTAGCTTCTGCCCGCGATTACGTTTGCGTAGAATAGGCTGAAGGCGTAACCTTCAGCCAGAAAGACAGATATACATAATATATGTATATAAATTATAGCATATGTCTTTTTCTGATGTATAAGCTCTATTATTGTAAAGTTTCATTAAAATCCATTCAGTAGTATTTGTGTGAAAGAGTAACATACATTCATCCATACAAACAAACTTTCGCCTTTATAATATTAGTAAAGTATATAAATTATAGCTTATGTCTTTTTCTGATGTATAAGCTATATTATTTTAAAGTTTCATTAAAATCCATTCAGTAGTATTTGCGTGAAAGTGTAACAAACGTATGGATGTTTGTTTGGCCATACAAACAAACTTTCGCCTTTATAATATTAGTAAGGAAATTTACCATAGCAATACACACTTGTTTTCTTTCCTACTAATAACAGTTCTTTTACTGAAACTTTTAATAAATAACCTAATATGTATATTTTGCAAGCATATATACGTACCTAACATATATATGGTCCAACACTTAAGAGTTACGTATTAAGTTACAGGTTCAGATTATAATACAGAATATCAACAATGCTTTATAACAATAGCGTTAGTCGAACCAGTTGAACCGGTTGCACATCATTAATAAATCGGTTGTTTGAGTAAGTTAAATTATTTATTCTAAGGATTCGGGGTTCATCATTCGACACCAATTCTTCAATCGACACTCTTTCAATGACGTTTAAATAGCCGTTTTAGGTCTGAGCAGTTGCATTTTCTTTGCAGAAAGAGTTTTAAAACATCAGACGGTTAAATTGATTACTATTGGAACGACATTTAGAAGGGAATTTGATGCGTTTCGACATTTAGTTACGTGCAAATAAAAATGTTGCTATTTGTCGTTAGTATCCTGTTTGGTTGTCACACGGTGAAACCAGCTTTACAAGCAACATTATAAGCTGGTTAAAGAATATACTACAGAATATATCCCTAACCATTGTGCAATATGAATGTCTATGATCCTTACAACGTCGATATATATACATATTGATATAATTTATAATTAATTTTACTGAATACTCACTGGTTCCGTATCGCACGTCTCTATGTCTGGTATTGGGTCATCACCGCAGTAGTACTCGGCTTGCAGGAATGGCGGTCGTGGCGGCGGCGGCAGCAGGAACTCAGGCGGGGGCCCGAGACACTCGCACTCAGTCAGTTCTGTCGTGTCCAGTTCCCACATCTCGTACTTATCTAACTTAACACTATTCACAACCTTTTCACTGATATCACTAACACTTATTCGAGCACCAGTATCACGTTTCACACGATCGTCCACATTTGAAGTTCGTAATTTTATCAGATCGGCAATGTATAGTTCGTCGTCGACGTCGCTCCACACGCTCTTTCTGACTTCTTCTGGCTCATTATTATCGTTAGCATCGTTCGTTTCGTCTATTGAGTGTAGTTCAGGTGCTATAACGCGATTTCTGTCTTTACTTGATAACACATTCGGGATTTCGGTCTTGCCTTGTTTCTCGCTTGGCACATGTTGATTCGTTTTGTAGTTTACAAGTGTATCACTTATTTTCGAGTCCAGCGAGCGTTTTTTGAAGTAATCGAAAACACCATTCCACACATTTTTTCTTGTCCAAATAGCGTGCGGTGACGCGATGCTTGGACTGTCGATGTGTTCTTCGGCCATACGCAATGTTCTTTTATCTGAAACCAAATAATATACGATTTTATAAATCACATCAATTTTACTGGTTCTATGTTGTAAAAATAATTACTTCCCCAGTCATATCATACAAAACTACAAAGACCAATACTGTATACAGGAATTTTCATATATTTAAATTCGCTCAATTTTTCTGTTTATGTTATATGTATCGCAATTAACAAGGCTAAATGTGCTACAGTTAACAACATAAAAACGTAGAGACAAGTACAACATTTATTTATATCTAAAAGATCCGTCATTAAAAAGACATCGAAACGCTAACCGCCTCTTTATCTGATGTTTTATGTATCGAGCCTGCAGTTGAATTAAACTACTTATTATTTAATAGAAGAGCTAACACCTCATTTTGAATAACAAAGGAGCCGCAATTAGGGACTACCACTCCGAGAGTACAATGGACGCGTAGCTGGTATCGATATCATCAGTGGCCTCGTCTGATGCTTATTTTAATTTATTTTTTATCGTTCCAAATTGAACGGATGAGTAAGCTATGAGCTACACTGAGGCTTTTTTTATTGCACAAAGCATCGGCTTTAAAACATCAAGATCGTAGAACGTGCACGAGTGGTATTCGAAACTAATGCACTGTCGGTGCTCCGAGAAGAGAGCAAAATAAAGTTGGAAGGCTTTCAATAGATACGGACGATGTACGACAATTGTGCATGCGTAAGGCATTTCTAAGTAGGTGCGTGAGATTGCGAGGTCGCGGGGTCAACAGGCGTCGGACAGCTATCGTGGTCCAGACCAGTACGAATAGCATACAATGCGATGGTTTATAGTCGAAGATCTTGACAGGATGATACGAGTTTTAAGACGCACGCCTGATAATCCATATATGCCGTAAAGCAGTGCGATTTCTTAACAACTATGGACATTTACTCATGGCGTGTGTTACGTCATAAGGTTTCCATCCATTTTAAAATCTGGAATTCGGTAAGCAACACGTTGACCAGTCGGCCGGTGCTATGCTTCCGCGTGGGGAAAATTAAAAAATGCTTTGTTGGTTCATTAATATGTGCGTGTAACGTGTCAAACAGCTGATCAATGGCCATCCACGCCGGTGAGATGTCTCATTAACATTTTGGCGCTTCGGTGGCCTCTCGAGCGCTGTCATGGAGGGCCGACGTCGGCACAATGCCGGCGAGAGCCCTCCAGCCTCTTAACGAAGCCCATTCTATTGGTTTTCTCACGTGAATTATTGCGAGCTTCATCGATAACGGTCATCCCCTCGCCTTGAAATCTTAATCTTGGCCTATGTGCGACGCTCATGACTCCGTATGTTATTCTCGTTTGACACCGCACTCGAGGCGCTCTCGACGCCCCGTCTCCCGTTTCATAATTACGCTCTACGTGTATTCGATTTGTATACCAAGACGACGCTCGATCAAGTTACTATGGGATAATGCTACAGATTCCGTTGCTACGGATGACATTTGTTTGCACAAAAACAAAGAAACAGAACGCGAATAACAGTAGGATTAGATATAATGCTTTTATATTTACGATGTAAACTAAAAATGGTTAATTTTAAGCGCTGAAGTAAAGTACACAGACTACAAATGTCCCACTATTGGGCAGAGGAGGAACAGTCTGTACAGAGGGTATTAGGGCGTAATCCACCACGCGACCCCACTGCGGATTGGAGGACTTTACATATCTTCGAAAAAAAATTTCTTGTTATAATTTAAAAAATATGCAGTTTTCCTCGCGATGTTTTCTTTTACCGTTGAACTCGTCATAAGTCAGCAGTTAAAATTGACAATTTCTTTGGTGCTAGCGCCGGGGATTGAACTCAGCTCGAGCAGCGCCACGACCATGAGCTATCACGGCTCTTATATAGTTTTTGCGTTACCCATATAAAGTTTTACAAATATTCTTAATTTATTCCGTGTAAATATTACCTTGCTCAAAGAGTAAGCATGCTGTATGACGTCATACATACAGATAAAACTAACACAACTTGCAAGGCTTTTAATGCTTTGTTGTTCGTTATGCGTACAGCAAATTAAGAACTTCTGCACGTCTTTCTGTCGGAATTTGTTTCAAGTCATGAATGTAAGTCTATTGATCGGGATCTATATTTTATACCTTAAAAGTTAAAGAATTTACTAAGAACAACGCGAGTGAAGCTCTAAGTAGAATGAGTTATGTTTTATACACATGATCTCGGAGATTTTTTCGGTCCAATATGTGGATCTCTGATAAGCATTGTACCGAGGGGGTAACAACACGCTGTATATTAAGTAAAGTAACAGCCTATACATGTCCCACTGCTGGGCAAAGGCCTCCTGCATATAGAAGGTATCGGGGTATAGTCCACCACGCGGCCCCACTGCGGATTGGCGGACTTCACATATTGTCGAAATATTTTTTTTTGTTAATATTTCGAAAATATGCAGGTTTCCTCGCGATGTTTTTCTTCACCGCGCAGCACGTGATAAGGCAGCACTTAAAGTTAAAAACTTCATTGGTGCCGGCATCGAGGATCGAACTCAGGTTGCTTGAGTATATTGAATTAAAGGCGAGCGCCCGGACACTGAGCTATCACGGCTCTTAACGTATCACGTATATTAAGGGTACAGTGAAATAAATGTCTTAGACAAATATTATTTGTGGATCATTAACACATCGTGCCACTCCTCCTTTATTAAAGAGACAGAGAAATTCGTCTTAGACAAATATGAGAGGATTCTTTACAACCGCACCCGTGCTTTCTCCGATGTTATTTCTCATGGTTAGCGTAAAGTGGGGGGCTGGGACGGCTACCGGGGACGCGGGACCGCCGCCGGGCCCATTAGCCGGGCCGAGGCTAACACCAAAACAAACAGCGAAACATGTTTCATCCTCTCAGGGCTAAAACGTTCGACGGCTTCTTGTTAGATCCCGTTTTACTGGCAGCGGCGAGCGGTATCCTGGTCGCTCTGTCAATAGCTTCGGAATGCGTTTGTTTAGCGGGCGACGCTAATGACTCCTTAATTGGTGAAGTGTTTTATTTTGTTGAAACATTGCATCCCTGCAGTGTAAGAACCGTTTTAGATGTATAGGTTCATACTAGGCATTGGTCATACATTCGTATTTGTAGCGCAGGATCTGTCATTATTACCTATTGCCATCCATCGTATTGCCATCCATCTAGCGTATTGCCACCCATCTAGCGTATTGCCATTACGGAATAACAGTATTGTCCGTCGATTTGAAAGAAATGAGAAAGAAAGAAAACATTTATTGCATAAATACGCCAGATAGGAACAGAGTAAAATTTTACATTACTTTCTTTTGTATTTGGAAAAATATCTGTTTTTAAAATATTTTTTATCTGCTCATACAACACTCACGCTATATTGCATGCTGGCAGCGACTATGGCACAAGCAAAAAATGATGTATCTTTAACAATTTTTGTCTCTAATTGTGTAAATTATGATGGCTTTCATTAAGTAAATAAATAAATTCGTAAATAATGTTTACTGCCAAAGCATTGAGGAAGGAGCCAACTTAGCAATTCTCGAATATATAACGTTTATAAAGTTGCTCATCAAAAGCAAAATTAGCATAACATCTTTCGACGGAAATCACTCAAAGTAAATAAAATTAATTTTCAATGTAACAATTGAAACAATTTTTGGGAAATTGGTAAACGAATAGGTAGTTCACATCATGGTATGTGATCACCGTTGGCTATAGACATCCATGATAGTCGCGGTTTATGTTACCATCCTTTGAGAGTGTTGACTCCGGTTAAATCACTCGTAGAAATACAAAAATATAAGTACATCCGTCTATTTATTAGCAGTCTTCTAGGCTATAGTTCTTCACTCGACCAATCAGCTCATTTTGACAATACCAATATGTTTATAACCTCTCTATATGAAACGGCGTTAATACTTCCTTCATACATTTTAAAGCGATATTTTTGCTACATTTAAACACTTTGCAATACTTTACTAATTTCGAATAAACTTGGCACATAAAACTGTACTCGATGCGATTTATGCGATGCGAATTAAAGGATAAAACGTGACGGCAATAAAGTTTTGTTCACAAAGAATGTATACAGCGTAATAAACACAACCATAAGATCACGACCAATTGCCTCCGTAAACGACTTTCAACGCGACACAAGACGAAAACAGTCTAATAACCTAATTCTTTCCTCATTCACCCGCTGAATGTAGGCTGATCCAGACGTACGAACGCTCCCTCTGGCAAAAGGAGGGTAGATCCGTACCACACTCCCGTTGCCAGACATTCGCCAAGAGGAGCCCTGCCAAGACTTGGCAATGGCTGGCGGCACGCCTCTAGTGACGTGTCCCCTTGTAGGGGCGACAATACTTGGCAACTGTACCGGATGCGCGCATATTGAGTTCAGCGTTTCGTCTGAGAGTCGATGCGGGCCCTCGCCAAATTCATTGGTATCTTTCCAGTTTGTACGCGATGCAACATTGTTTCTGAATCCGGGACATTATGTAAATAACGTTTAACTAGATATCGTCCATTCGTATACGTCCGTCGTGATTTTCGTTATAAATGTGTCATTCGAATCAAATTCCACTTAGAAATATGCACTTTAATCCTTCAGAATAGAATTCAAGGTATGTTTATATATCTAATATATAAAATTCTCGTGTCACGGTGTTTGTAATTGAACTCCTTCGAAACGGCTCGACCGATTTTCTTGAAATTTTGTATGCATATCGGCCAGGGTGGATAATCGGACATCTCTTTTTCATCCCTCTAAATGTTAAGGGTGGTCCACCCCAAACATTTTTTTCTACCCTACAAATAATTTATATGGCAAAACAACGTTTGCCGGGAAAGCTAGTAATTACAGTAATAATCAGATTATTGGTTACAAAACAATTTCCATAAACTCGACTTCAGGCTGCTTTTGTTGAGTTTGTTCTTTTTAAAAATTAAATAGGAGGCATTCAGTAGATTTAATGAACAAATAAAATAATAAAAC